TTATATATATATATATATATATATATATATATATATATATATATATATATATATATAATCTTTCCTTAATAAACCTTAAAAGAAAACATCATAATGATATAAGAGAAAAAAAAGATTGAAAGAAAAAACAAGTGTTTAACAATTATAAGCAAGATCAAAATGTATGTTTGTCATCATAAAGTAAAAAACAATTCAATTACAAAATGCTATTGAACAAAATTGCATTTTACAGAAAAACAAAAATATACAGAGTGATCGTGGAAATCCAATCCCATTTGGCTTTGTTCTGTCATGTCTGCAATTATTGGATTCCTATTTCCAACATCATTAAATTACCAAGTTTTAAACTCAAGGTCTTATTCTTTTACCTAAATTCATATCTCTAACCTTTACCAACCCTTATAAATTGGCAAGATATAGGACACTGATTCAAGCCATGGAAAAGTTCTCGAACGTATCAGGAAGTTCAGTTTTGGTACCATCAGTTCAAGAGTTGGCCAAACAAAATTTGGCTACTGTTCCAGAAAGATACATTCAGCCTCAACATGAACAGCAAATGGTGCATATTTCTCAACAACCTAATACTGCCACCCTTCAGATTCCAGTTATTGACATGCAGAGATTGCTTTCTCAAGAATCTGCATCTTCTGAATTGGATAAGCTTCACCTTGCTTGCAAGGAATGGGGATTCTTTCAGGTTTCTTCAATTTCCTCCTTTTTTTGTCTTCAATTTTGTTGTAACTGTAACATATTTCTGTTTGATTCTGGACTCTCTAGATATATATTAGATAAACTTAGATAAAGGGTGTTGGGAAATTTTGCTGTTTAATTGGAACTGAAAGCATTAAAAAATAATAACAAAAATAGTTAAAGAATCCATTCAAATTATGTCATATACTGATAAATTCAAATTTTTGATTTATGAATTGATTTAGTTGTTAAATGTTAATCTCCTTTTAGCTGATAAACCATGGAGTTAGCACTTCCTTGGTGGAGAAAGTGAAGCTGGAGATTAAGAATTTCTTCGACCTTCCAATGTCGGAGAAAAAAAGGTTTTGGCAGAGTCGAGAACATATGGAAGGTTTTGGACAAGCTTTTGTTGTGAGTGAAGATCAAAAGCTTGATTGGGCCGACCTTTTCTTTATGACTGTTCTTCCAAAACAATTGAGAATGCCTCACTTATTTCCTCAACTCCCTCTTTCTTTCAGGTTCTCTCCCACCCACTTTCTTCCTTATCATCACATAATACTGAGATCAAAATAGATTTTAAATTTATTTTTGTGATAAATGTGTTTGTTAAACACAAAACAGAAAACTAAAATACTAAATTTTAAACTTAACTCAACCCATAAAATTGACTTATAAGATAATATTTGCATTTAGTTATGTATTATAAATTGATTTTGTTTTGGTTATGGGTCGAGTAAGTGAAAACATTCACAATTTGTCTTTTCTCGCCGTTCGGTTGCTTTTTGTTTGCTCGTTCGGGCCCGAAAGGGTACCTGTTAAAGACATTCCGTGTTCGGTAATCCAATATGACAACAAGAGTAGTAAATGCCTCTACCTACCTCTTACTTTTGACTTATATTCATAGTTGTTGAGCATGGGTCTAGGATTAACAATATTTTAATCTCTATCTAATCC